TGATTTGATTAATTAATTACCTGTATTACTTATTATCTCATCAATTTCTCAAAGAAATATTATCATAGGACATAACCTCACTTGTAGTATTTCTAGTTGTCTTCTTCTTCTTTTTTTGGCTTCGTCGACACGTTATTTCATGGAATGTCATCTGAAGACATCCGTATGCAGGATCCGCTGCAGCCTCAGGCTGTCACTGAAAGAACTTTTCTAGGACAATTACGGCGCTAAATCTACACCTGATGATGTTCTTAGGTTGTAGAAAACATAATGTCCTCTCTAGGCGTTTGGCGAAACATTGAGGATGACCCTAGGCGATTGTGTGCTATCTGGGCCCACTTCAACCTTGCCGGAGTGCAAATGGTTTTTGCAACATCCCAGTCTTCCCGTTTTGCTCTGCCTGGTTCTTTCAGTATTCTATTGGGATCATATAGTGTACTACCTGGAAAGTGCGTCTCCAGTAGAAGGAGAGCTCGTTGCTCTTCATCTTCCGTATAGTTACCATCTGATCTTCTGAGTGACATTGGTCCTTGCTCTTTGCCCCTTGCCATGGCCTTGTACATTCTGGTTGCAGGTGGACTCAAGTGATTGTCTCACAAAAGTTCCTAAAGCTATTTCTCTTAGCTTTCCTAATTTTTTTGTTGTAAATTGGCTGCCTCTTGGTGTAGCCCTGCCAGTCTCCGTCCCGCTTGCCCTACACAAAATAAATATAACCCGCCTGGCTATCTATTTTGCAGTAAAATCGCCGCACAACTGCAATCTCCTTTGTCGTTTGACTCGAGGAATTTTTACACCACACGCCACAACAAAGAAACTTTCGCCAATATAACCTTCCACCAAGTCACAAATGCAGTGTCCACATTATCCTCACTTCTGATTTGTCAAAACGCTGAATCTTCAGAAATGCCTTCATTGAATGATATATACAACTACAATGACATCTTTACATCAATATGTTGACATCGATCGCCACGCAGAGACTGGTTACTTCCGTCACAGTATATTATCCTTCCACGAGAAAAAATAATATACCACAGTATATTATCCTTCAATACGTAAAACAACAGAAAAAAACGAAAGATACTGAGAAAATGAGAATTGGTGTAAGTTTATAAAAGTAGCTATAGGTAAGCACAATTTTTTTTATAAAAATAACAAAAATATACAGGGTGTCCGGAAATTATGCGCTAAAAATTGAGGGAATGATTCTACATGATTAAAAAAGAAATTCATTCCATATGTACGTGGGTCCGAAAATGCATAGTTTTCAACATGACAACAGTCTCCGAACATACCCGGAGGAGGCACTTTTGCCAAATACTATCCTATATACAGTCTGTCCAAGATAAGGTTGAACAGCATGGGGATCTCGGAAACGGTAGGAGATACGAAGTCGCTTAAATGGGGAAAAAGTTGCGCATTCGGAGGCTCATATCAAGAGCCTTCGAAAATTTCGAAAATTATTTTTAGTTTTTGAGTTATATCGAAAAAAGTGAATTTTTGGAATTTCTATTTTATTTTTTTTCTCCGTTATTATCAGAGATACAGAAAAACTGAGAATACTTTTTAATTGCAACTTTTGATGAGGTTTAACGTGGTGATACCGATTTCGTTATGCAACGTTTCGTATTCGTGGAACCATCATCAACTTTTGTTTTTAAAATACGGTCCTGATAATTTTTTCACAGATTCTGAAAGGTTTTTTCATTCTGAATTCAACAATGTACTATACAAGGTGATTCGAATGTGTTTCGACCTATTTCTATCCATCATCAATGTTTTTTCGAACTTTCATTCGATCAATGCAGCGTTTAAAATTGTTGATGAATTCTTACACGAATTACTTTAACAACTTAACTTTGACAATACCTACAGAGACATTCATAACAAATGTTCAAAATAATAACCATTATTTTCTGAACAAAGATATCCTCTTCTCACAGTTGTTTCTAAGACATTGCTAAGCATTTCTGTGGTTATTCTATTGAATGCTTCGAAGACACTGTCCCTTAGTTCTTCTTCATCCTCAAAGTTATTTGCGTGTACAAAGTTCAATATATCCCCTAAGAAAAAATCCAGCTGTGTCAAATCAGGCGACCGCGCCGGCCAAGGGATAAAAACGCACGGACTTCTCTGGAATTATGTACCGGAGCGCCATCTTGTTGAAACCAACAGAGTTCTGAACTTCCGCAATCGGTAAATCATCCAGAGCTTCCTCAAGATGATTCTCAAGCGAATTTCTATAACGTTCGGAAGTCTGTGTTTCATGGTAAATAGAAGGAACAATAATTCAATGTCAATGAAGATCTTGCTGAAATCACAGCCTGGGGAACAAACAACCTAGTTGAATTCAACGCCACCAAAACTCAAGCCTGCATTTTCTCTAGAAAGGCGGAACTCAGTATGCCCGATATTGTAATGTCTGGCTCCACCATCCCCACCAAGCCCACTATATCTATGCTCGGTATTTCCATCAGCAACACTCTTTCATGGGATAATCATGTCAGATCCATCGCAAAAGCTGCTTCACAAAAACTCGGATTCTTGTTCCGTGCCAAAAGCTACTTTACACCTCAACAGCTTCTCATGATCTACAAAGCGCAGATACGGCCTGTTCTAGAATACTGTTCCCACATATGGGGTTCAGCACCAAAACATACGCTGATGCTCTTAGATTCCATCCAGAGAAGAGCCATTCGCCTGGTGGGTGACGCCACACTCACTCACTCTTTGACATCATTGGAACACCGTAGAAAGGTCGGCGACCTTTCACTTTTCTACCGATACTTCCACGGGAAATGTTCTTCGGAAATCTCTGCTATCATCCCTTCACTAGCAATACCAATCAGACGAACTAGACAAGCCCAGTCAGCACATCCTTTCGTTGTCAACCTCGAAAGATGCCGAACAGCACTCTATCAAGACTCCTTCATCCATAGAACGGCTAGGCTCTGGAATTCATTGCCTGTGGAAGTATTCCCAACAACATATAATCTCCAAAAGTTCAAAAAAAATTCCAATACCTACCTCCTGTCCCTATCCTCCCTAGGAACGCACGATGTTCTTTGAACATTATAGGGATTCCCTTTCGTGCGCTCCAAGCGATAAAAAAAAAAAAAAAAAAAATCGTGTACCAAATATTGCAACCCACATATTAAAGCCGAAACGGTGTTGGTGTCTCGCTGTAATGTATAAATGTTCATTTTCTCGTGAACAATAATGTGTATTTTTTCTATCGAAGCTACCATGATTAGTGACCATGCTTTCATCAGTCCAGATGATTGTTCGAAAGAAATCTGCGAAATTTTAACATTTCCTGGTATACCACTCATAGAATGTCTTGCGCCTTTCGTCATCGCCTGGTTTTAGCGCTTGACATATTCTGAATTTGTATGGATGGAATTTTTGTTTCTGCAAAATGAAATGGGTTGTTGATTGAAACCAGTTGATGAGGTATTAGTGTGTCGACTAATTTTCCTTCAAAATAAGTGGAACTGATGGCATTTTTCCTTTGGAGTTTCGAAAAAACATTGATGATGGTTGAATTCAGAATAAAAAACCTTTTAGAGTCTGTGAAAAAATTATCAGGACCGTATTTAAAAAACAAAAGTTGATGATGGTTCCACGAATACGAAACGTCGCATGAGAAAATCGGTATCGCCACGTTGACCGTCATCAAAAGTTGCTATGAAAAAGTATTCTCAGTTTTGCTGTATCTCTAATAATAACGGAGAAAAAAAAATAAAATAGAAATTCCAAACATTCACTTTTTTCGATATAACTCAAAAACTAAAAATAATTTTCAAAATTTTCGAAGGCTCTTGATATGAGCCTCCGAATGCGCAACTTTTTCCCCATTCAACCGATTTCGTATCTCTTACCGTTTTCGAGATCCCCATGCTGTTCAACCTTATCTTGGACAGACTGTATACCAGAAATCATTGAAACTGTCATTGTGGACCTATCGACACATTTCGTTACCCCCACATTGCTTTATGCCCACATTGCGTTATGCCTACATTGCGTTACACCTACATTTTGATAGGCCCACATTTCCATATTCCCACAGTGTTCGAACATACTGTTGCCATATACTGTGCTTGATGCGTAATTTTCCGAAAAATATAGTTTTTAGGAAAAAGGTTGATTTTGGCTGAGTTAGGGTAGATTGTTTAAAAAAAGTAGTATCCCTTGTTCCCTCAAGCAATTCATCGAAAAATATACTTTTTAGGAAGGTTTATGCAGTCCGAGTTAGGTTAGATTGTTTTGAAAAAGTATAGTCTCTTTTGCTCTCTCAAGTAATATTCAGAAAAATATATTTCCTAGGACGGAGGTGTATTTAGGCCGAGCAAGGTTAGAATGTTCAGAAAAAGTAGACTCCTTTCTTATGCAGAAAGGATATTTTCCTTCTTCATATTACGAATTCGGAATTCACGAAGCCATAGAGAGAAATGCTATAGCTAGACGCGTGTACTAGACATTGTGAGCCTAACGCACATTGTGTTACACGCACATCTGGCAAACGTGCATTTTTCGGGTATGTTCCGAGACAGTGAAAATAAATAAATATGGGGCTAACGAGATGTGGGTCGATCGAAATGTAGGTGTAACGCAATGTAGGTGTAACGCAATGTAGTCGTAACGAAATGTGGGCATAAAGCAATGTGGGTGTAACGAAATGTAGGTGTAACGCAATGTGTCGATAGGCCCACAATGACCGTTTCATTGAATTCTGGTAAATAGGATAGTATTTGGTAACAGCGTCTCCTTTGGGTATGTTCGAAGACTGTATGTGTATCAAAATGTCGGGCTAACGAAATGTGGGCATATCGAAATGTGAGAATAACGCGATGTGGGAGTAACGAAATGTGGGCACAACGCAGCGCAGCCAGTTGAGCGCTTTCATAATTTATTGAGGAAAATCATTCCAGAATATTATGTATTTTCGTAAAATGTTTGACCGATTCGGATGCATATTTTCCTTAATATTGTATCCACAGGCCCTTCGAATGGTTGATCTTACTGACCATCTTCGCAAACTGTGTTGCCTTAGCTGTATTCACACCTTTTCCTAGTAGCGATTCGAATACAACAAACACATATTTGGTGAGTTTCATTACAGTTTTTGATTTTTGAGCGAGTTGTGCACACTGTCTGGTACAACGCATCTGAACTGCCAACATGAAAAAAAATTTCACGAATATTTTCCTAATTTACAGTTGCAACTGTGAATAAGACGAAGACACCTTTTTTTAGTAGACATTCAAGAGAAAAAATGTCTTCTGTCTGATTTACAGTTTCAACTATGAATTGGGCAGAATAAACATTCTTCGAAACACTTTCAGATTCACAGTTGCAACTAGAAATCAGGACTAATTTACAGTTGCTACTGTGAATTAGCGCCTCCTTACAGTTCCAACTGTAAATCAAAACAAGAGATTTTTTTCTACACATCTCCTTATTCACAGTTGCAACTGGGAATCAGGACTAATTTACAGTTGCAACTGTAAATTAGCGCTTACTTACAGTTGCAACTGTAAATTAGAACAAGAGAACTTGTTTCTACACACCTCCTAATTCACAGTTGCAAGTGGAAATCAGGAGTAATTTACAGTTGCAACTGTAAATTAGCGCCTACTTACAGTTGCAACTGTGAATTAAAACAAGATAACTTTTTTCTACACACCTCCTAATTCACAGTTCCAACTGGAAATCAGGAATAATTCACAGTTGCAACTGTGAATTAGCGCTCACTCTCAGTTGCAACTGTGAATTAGCGCTTACTTACAGTTGCAACTGTAAATTAGAACAAGAGAACTTTCTTCTACACACCTCCTCATTCACAGTTGCAACTGAAAATCAGGACTAATTCACAATTGCAACTGTAAATTAGCCCTTACTAACAGTTGCATCTGTAAATTAGAACAAGAGAACTTTTTTCTACACACCTCCTAATTTACAGTTGCAACTGGATATCAGGACTAATTTACTGTTGCAACTGTGAATTAGCACTTACTTTCAGTTACAACTGTAAATTGAAACGAGATAACTGTTTTCTACACATCTCCTAATTTACAGTTGCAACTGTAAATGAGGCAGAATAAATTTTTTTCCCAAAACACCCAATTGACAGTTGCAACTGTAAATTAGGAGACATCCAAGAGAAAAAGTGTGTCTGCCTAATTTACAGTTTCAACTATAAATTAGGCAGAGAAAACTTTTTCCAAAACCACTCCTAATATACAGTTGCAACTGTAAATCAGAACAAGAGAACTTTTTTCTACACATCTCCTAATTCACAGTTGCAACTGTGAATTAGGCAGAAAAAACTCTGTTTTTCAAAACACCTAATTTACACATGCAACTGTAAATTAGCGATTACTTACGGTTGCAACTGTGAATTAGGAGATTTGAAAAGAAGTTTCTTCTGCCTACTTTACAGTTGTAACTGTTGATTAGGCAGAGAAAACTGTTTTTCTCAACTTTTAATTAGGAGGTGTGCAACTGTGAATTAGGCAAATGTTCGTAAAAAAATGTTTTTCTAGGACGGCAGTTCAGACGTGTCGAAGTCTAGTCGTCATTTGCTGGTATTTTTTGTTGCAGGAGACAATTGAGTACATTTTCTTAGTAATTTTCACGGTTGAATGTGTTATGAAAATACTGGCGTATGGTTTCTTGATGCACATGGGGGCGTATCTTCGGAATGGATGGAACTTACTCGATTTCACAATCGTAGTTATTGGGTAAGGGCTTCCAGATACATAATATTCATATTTGTAGTCGTTCGCCGAATTTTAGAGATTTTCTCAGATTTGGGAACATCTCCGGAATGTTGAGAACTCGGTTTAGAATATATGAGAACTTTTTCATTACCGTATTAGAATATTCTCGAAGTGTATAGAACATTTTTAAAGGGTCTAGAACATTCAAGATCATTCTAGAATGTGCTAGGACAATGTATGGCAATTTTAGAACATTTTTGAGATACAATTCCTGAACGTTCGAGAGTATTTGAGAAGTTTCTAGAGTATTCCTAAAATGTCTGAAACATCCATGTAATTCATAGAACATCAAAGATTCGAGGTAATTCAAGAACATTACCGAAACACTAGAAATTACATTTGTACAGGGTGTCCTAAGTTCAAGGGTTATTTAGGGATTAGTTGCGCAATTTGATGCTGTCCAAAATCCCGCCTCAACAGTTTGTAGATTCTGAATATATACTTTCGGTGAAAAAATCAAATATCTGCGATTTCTTTTGTTTAGTGAAATGACAAAATGAGTTTCATATCACCGCTCATTACCGCTCATTCCGCTCTATAGAATGGTATCAATAGATTTTTATTCCGACGTTTCGACTTCGAGGAGCCATCATCAACATTATTTTTTTAAATAGTCGAAAGAATATGTTCTGTCCCTGAAAAATTCAAATCCAATGCTGGATCCAATGACACATTACACTTCACAATAATTATCCAACGTTTCAAACCAAAAAATCATCATCAGTGTACTTTGATGATGACTATAAGGGTAAGAAACGTCACAGCAAAAATCTGATAACGGTATCTTGTAAAGAAGACAAAATGGCTGCAAAATGTAGAGAAGGAAAGATGACTGCAAAAAATCAAATTCATTCTGGTATATCGCTTATAGTAGAATCAGAAAAGAATCGTTTCTTCGAATTTGAAACTTCTAGAATAACTTCTCATTTCATTTCACTGAAAAGAATAGAGTGGACAGGGTGATTCACATAAGAACCGACATAGATCAGGGGCATGTAGGGGGTCACAAGATATGTCAATTTAACGCAACTTACCTCTATACCAAGTTGCTTCCCTAAGGAGTTATAGGCTTTGAAAGTGAAGTTATAAATTTAGGAAAAAAATCAATATCTCCGTTATCCTTGAACTTGAAGCATCCAAATTTGGTACACTTTGTGGTGGTATTTTGGGCGTTACTTGACAGTTACTAGAGTTCAATTGAAATTTGTAGAGGAGGTATACCGGGTGGCGCACCATCAATATTCAACAGAATTTTGTTAACCCTAGATGGATTTAAAAAATCTGTGCTTTGTTGTGTGGGCAATTCAATACTAAAACTTTTCTCAGTCCAGTAATTTCTCGAAAAACCTCATCATTTTCATCAAAAACTCGGATAACTGAAAACGCGTGCTCTAGGTGTGTTATTTAAAATCATTGAAAATTCAAAAGTTGGCTATGAAAATAAACGTCAAACTCGACAATGAAGCAAGTAAGTTGTTTGAATAAGTAATTTATCGATAAATAATTGTTTGTTCTGGTTGTTGTTTAAGTTTTTTGTGTTTATTTTGGTTAGTTCTTAATCCCAGTTCACATTTCAGTATCTGTACTTACTTTACGTATTTTGTTACGTTTCTAAATAATAGATTGCCAGCCAATTTCTATTGATCACAATCAATTACCTACTTTCTTGTTGTACGTTTATTTTCATAGCCAACTTTCGAATTTTCGATGATTTTGAATAACACACCTAGAGCGCGAGTTTTCAGTTATTCGAGTTTTTGATGAAAATGATGAGGTTTTTCGAGAAATTACTGGACTAAGAAAAGTTTTAGTATTGAATTGCCCACACAACAAAGCACAGATTTTTGAAATCCATCTAGGGTTAACAAAATTCAGTTGAATATTAATGGTGCGCCACCCGGTATACCCCCTTTGCAAATTCCAATTAAGCTCTAGCTACTTTCAAGTAACGCCCTAAATACATCCAAGAAGAGTACCAAATTAGGTTGCTTTAAGTTCAAGAATAACGGAGGTATTGATTTTTTTCAAAATTTATAACTTCACTTTCAACGCTTATAACTCCTTAGGGAAGCAACTTGGTATAGAAGTAAGTTGCGTTAAATTGACATATTTTGGGACCCCCTACATGCCCCTGATCTATGTCGGTTCTTATGTGAATCACCCTGTATAATCATATCACTCAAATACCTTTCAATTTCATATTTTTTCAGAATTTTTCAGTAGATTTAATGAAGGTGCTAAAATCATCAATGATGCCACGGTAATTTTCAAACGGATAGAAATTTACCGCGAGTAAAAGCTGACATCACGATTTCGTTCATATTATTAATATAATTACATTAATTCACACTAGAGAACATTTGAACGTGAACGTGACATCACAGCGCCCTTTCTTTCTCAGTATTCAGCGCAATGTTGCCAGTTCATTCACATGATATTTTGTTATGGAGTATAAAAAATATTTGGACATGCTGGTTGCTCGAATACGTCAAGAATTAACTATAATATCATGGGTTCCTCCTATTATGTTTTACTCAACGACAGCACTCTTACATCTTTTCGATAACTTGATTGAATCAGTGACTTGACAACTTTATTGCCTCGTGAGTGGAAATGAGAGATTATCTGACCAATAACGAAACAGTATGAAAGCTGACGTCATCATTTATTCGACGTATAGCCATGGTGGCCATGACGATACATTTGAAATGAGCTCCGAAATTCAACAATTTCGAACAATGCATACACTCACTATTTACATGAAAAAAGTATGAGAAGTGTTGCAAAAATTAGAACTAGAACCTTCAATTTTCAGAACATTCTAGATTTATTCTGAAATTTCTGGAACATTCGAGCTGTTTGAGTTTGTTCGTTTGTCGTTTCAGGTTGATCAGTACTGTGTTAACAAACCTCACCAAAGACACTTTCGACGTTAAAGCTCTTCGAGCATTCCGAGTCCTTCGACCTTTGAGGCTGGTTTCTGGTGTACCAAGTGAGTAAATGATTCATAATGTTTCATGTCCTTCCACAAATTCCTCTCGAATGAAATATGTAATATGCTGCGACCTGTCAAAAAATATATACCATGTTTTTATTAATTGTATGCCGATTCTCAAGGTCAATCCTTGGATGCTTAACACCATGTATACTTGTTTGGAAATATGGTGTTTAAAAAGAGATTTCCACAATATTTTCAGAACACCTCCATGTGCTCACCCCGTGCAAGTAGTGCTGTGTAGTCATCTGACTCTCTTATCATAAATGCTGGTGTTCCGCAAGGATCAGTTCTAGCACCAACACTATTTTTTTCTCAATATCAACGATTCGTTGGAAGCAACTTCATGTCCAGTACGCAGCTTCGAGGATGATAGTACCCTCCATACCGCCTTCTCTTCCAGGGCTCCAATACCAGCCAGGCGAATCAGAAACGAGGGAGAAATGTTGACAACATAAATATGGACTTGGCAAGAATTCTCGAATGGGGATCCAATAACTTGGTAGATTTCAATGCAAACAAAACACAAGCATGCCTTTTCTCTACAAAAGCCGATCTCACTATGCCCAACATATAAGCCTGTCAGGAGTAACCATACCTTTGGGGACAACCATTTCGATGCTTGGTATTACTATCAGCAATAACCTTCCTTGGAAAAATCACGTGAGATCAATTGCTAAAAGTGCATCCCAAAAACTTGGTTTACTGTTTCGGGCCAGGAGCTATTTCACTTTCAGTCAACTGCTTATGATCTATTAGCCACATATCCAACCTGTCCTGGAAAACTGTTTCCATATTTGGAGTACAGCACCCAAACATACCCTGAAACTGTTGGATTCTGTCCAAAAAAGGGCAATTCGTCTCGTGGGTGATGCCTCGCTCACAAACTCACTCACTTCTCTGGAACACCGTAGAAAAGTTGGCGATCTGGCTCTTTTTTATAGATATTCTCATGGACGATGCTATTCTGGAATATCAACAATTGTTCCTTCCTTGGCAGTCCCCGCGAGATTAATCCGTCGAGTTGAGGCTACGCACCCCTTCGTGGTCACTTTGGAGACCTGCAGAACATCTATTCCCAAAGACTTGTTCATCCAACGAACAGCGAGGCTCTGGAACACATTGCCAAGGGAGGTGTTCCCTGAGGCATATAACCTCCAGAAATTTAAGAACAACACCAAGTCCTACCTCATTTCTCTTGGTCCTCACGATGTTGCCTAACATTATAGGATATCCGTTCTCGTGGGAACCAGAACATGAAAAAAAATATCACCGATCTATTGGGAGCAACCACTTGCCCTGACGGCAGCTTTGCAGACGATAGTACTCTCCATACTGCGTTCTATTCTAGAATTCCCATTTCTTCCCAAGAAACTAAGAACCTACGACGAAGGCAGACCAACGCTGCCAATGAAGGTCTTGACAAATTACTGCCTGGGGAACCAACATTCTAGTCGAATTCACCGGCACCAAAACTCAAGTCTGTATTTTCTCTAGAAAGGCGGAACTCAGTATGCCTAATATAACAATGTCTGGTATCACTTTTCCCACCAAGACCACTATATCTATGCTTTGTTATTACCATCAACAATACTCTCTCACGGGAAAATCATGTCCGATCCATCGCAAAAGCTGCATTACAAAAACTCGGATGTTTCGTGTGAAAATACTGTTCTCATTTATGGGATTCAACACTTCAACATACGCTGATGCTCTTAGATTCCATCCAGAGAAGAGTTGTTGGCCTGTGTAACGCACTAGCTCTTTGACCTCATTAGAACACCGTAGAGAAGTCGGGACCTTCCACTCTTCAATGATACTTTCACGGTAAATGTTCCTCGGGAATATCTGCTATAATTCCATCACTGGCAATACCAGTCAGACGAACTCGCCAGGCCCAGTCAGCATATCCATTCGTCGTTAACCTTGAAATATGTCGAATAACACTCTACCAAAACTTGTTCGTCTATAGAACGGTGAAGCTTTGGAATTCTTTGCCAATAGAAAAATCCCCAGATCTTGGAACCTCCAAAAGTTAAAAAAAATCCTACACCTCCACCACCTCTTCCTATCCTCCCTAGGGTACGCACGTTGTTCCACGAACATTATAGGAATTTCCTGTCGTGGGCTTCAAGAGATTGAAAACAAAGTGACTAGAGGTGTCATCACCGCACTTACGCGACATGTTCATTGCATCTGACTGTACATGTAAATGTAAATCATGATTTATCGATTGAAAGAGGTTTGTACAGATTTCATCCCTCAGCGGTCTTCCCCATTGGGTTTTTGAAGATGAAGGGACAAAAAAATTCAGTTTTGGTAAAGATTGTTGTATATTTATTGTTCTTCTCCCTCATTAGTTTTGTATACAGGATGTTTTCAATGGTGATAAATACAATATATTTCAACAGGATATAGAATGTATCGTATATGTAATACAACAAGTGTATTGATGAAATACAAATCCCTTCGATATTAAGAAACATATAGCGCTTGGTTGTTTCGAAAAAGAGAAAGAATTTTTGATGATCATGAATAAAACGAGTTGTTTTTATCATGAATATTTCCATGAATAAGACAATAATTTCATATCATATTTTCATCTGCATTTTTTAAATGCCGATCATAAAAAGTTGGTCTGAAATTCTTTGATACAAATTAAAATTGCCTATCACGATTTTATCTGGAGTTTAGTGCTGAGTGTTATTTCATTCCTGAATGTAAGTGATTTTGTTTCATATTTGATCAAACTTACAATGAGGAAGCGAAATGCAAAATCGAAAACACAGGCAACCAGATAACGTTTCAGTGACGTCTTTTTACGTGAGTTGAATGACCAAGGTGACGTCAGGAGTTGACGTCGTATGACGTGATAAATGACGTGAATTAGTCACAGCCCAATGACGTTATATTACTCACGTTTATTGACGTCATTCACTCACCAAACTGTGACGGCGGACTGATGTCGAAATGACGTCAAAATAACGTTCAAATTTGGTGATGATGCGTAAAAAAGTCTTCTCAAACATGGTGTGACAAACACCACTCAATATTGATTATACATTGTTATTCTGCTTGGTGGTCCCTCCGGTATCATATCCATTCAATCGTCTATTCAGCAACGCTATCTTTCAGTATGCATCTCCATCAGATTGGAATTAGTTACTTGTATTTGTATCAAACATTATCTAGTTTGTGTCAGTGAGATGTAAGCAAACCAAGAATAGTTTGATAGCAATGAAAAGGATGTTGGCGAATTCAGCTTCACTCTCTTGAGTAACGTTTATTCATTCTTCGGCACCCAACAAAAATTTGAATAGCAAATTATTAAAAAATTGTCTGAATGACGAAACTCACCAAATTGGTACGTCACACCGACGTGATTTTTAGACGTCATATATACGTCGCTGCAACGTCATAAAAGTGACGGTTTCAATAGATACACCCATATTACCATTTATATGTACATATATAGCTTCATTGGTTTCCGAGATATACAGGGTTTCAGAGTTTTAAAAAAAGTTTTTTCCTACTCCTTTGGGTATATATATAATTTCGATAAAACTTGCATGTTGATTTGATTCAATAAGCTATACTTCTATTAACGTCAGTAGCATATATATAAAATTACCAAGACGTACATGTTTCTATATATGTGTGTAAAATTAATGAAAATACGGGTTTTTCTCAAAACTTTTCGACACTGGAAATGCCCATCCTTTATATATAGGTACGTCACAAAACTGAACGGTTTCACATGATAATGTAATTATATATAATAATAATAATATTAATAAATTTATTGCCATTTTTTTTTACAAAAACATTAGCAACGTCAGATTCAGATATATACATAGGTACATTCATAACATAATACTTATACACACATGAATATTGGTAGAATTTTACAAGCAAAAGAATATAACATTTACAGAATATAATTTTAATTAACACACTTATCACAAAGTATTCAAACAAAAAGTATATACATATAATATCTATACACTACAAAAGTTTATTGATTGAAATATTCGTCCAATGAATGAAATGGATTCGCAGTTAGATAATCTTTCAAAGTTCGTTTGAAGATATTCATATTATTGATTTCTTTGAGACGTGGTGGCAGTGCATTATGAATTTTTATACAATTATAGTACGGACCTTTCTCGAACAGACCAGTTTTATGTAGTGGAATACGTAAGAGTTTACTTCCTCTTGTTTCCATATTAGAGATGTGTTGATTATTTGTAGGGAACGTTTGCTAATATTTTCTAGCAAATATCGCAATGGTATATATGTAGGAACAGTGAACAGTCACAATTTTTGAATTTATGAATAGTTGTCTACAAGAAGTGTCATTTTCTAGATTAAGTATAGTTCTCATGATTTTTTTTTTTGATAAATGAATACATCCTTGGATATTGGTGAGTGATACCAAAAAATCACGCTGTAGTCAATATGCACATAAGCAAAATGAAACATCGAATTTGTTGCATTCATTCGAGAATTGTATATATCAATGTGAGTGTATCTTTCCTATGAATTTTGAAAAATACGTGATTCGTTTTGTTCTTGCTTATTGGTGTATGATAAATTGACATTCATCATACTGGGCGTGGAAAGTAGTTGTTTTCTGTTGAATATTCAGAATGATGTGTGCATATACATATTTTTATCTGAAGGAGAATGCAAATTCTCAATTTCAGAAGTTTTTATATTTTATTTTCAAACTCTTATCGTGTGTGTTCAATAGATATAATTCAATGTTCGTCGTGGCATATAGCCAGGAAAGTAGTTGTTTTCTATTGAATCAACTGAGAAAGAGTAAATATTCTCATCACATAGAGAATGCGAATTCTCAATGTATTGCTTTATATAAATATATATCCATTTTTGTATGTTCATAATTCATCTGAGAATATTCCTTTTCAACACGTTTTGTTCTTATTGATCACTAAAGAATTATTTTCACACCATTCTACAGCTCGAGAGACAGTTGTATTAGATGTCTCATTCAGACACAACGACTGAAATATCGTCTGCGAATAAGAAAACGGAACTGATGTCTATTTGGGAACATATGTCGTTAATAAATATTAAGAATAGAATTGGTCCGAGTATGGAGTCCTGAGGCACCCCTATACCGACTTGTACACTGTCAGAATGGTATGTCGAATACTTGGAGTTATTTTCTGATGAGATACCGACTATTTGTGCCCGATTGCTGAGGTAGGATTTCACCAAATCATTAGCTTTGCCTCTGACACCATATAGTACTCTAATTTTTGCAATAGTATTTCATGATTAATGAGTTCGAAAATTTTGGTTAGGTCAAAATAAATGCTAGTCACTTTGTTTCCTTTGTTCAGTTGATCTATTATAAAATTCAAAGAACCATATATTGCAGATTTAGTGGACTTATTTGGAAGGAAGCCGTACTGATTCATCACGAATATATCATTCTCAATAAAATATGATAGAAACCTATTGTGAATTAGACGCTCAAAAATTTTTGAGAAGGCTGACAGAATTGAGATTGGTCTGTAGTTTGAAATCTCATTTTTTTGTCCTTTCTTGTATACTGGTACAATTTTTGCGATTTTTAATGCATCAGGGAAGATTCCAGTAGAGATAACGGATGGCAAATCAGATTCCCTACACGTTTGAGAACAGTAACTGGTATATTATCAACACCAACTGAAAATTTCGGAGGTAGGGCCATGGTACGCCACACTTCGTCAGGACATGTTGGTTTCAAGAACATGTTAGTTGTATATTGATTGGACCCATTCAGGCTTACATCGATGATAAGAGTATCAGTTCTGTACCTAGAAGTATCGAAGTAGTCACTGAAATTATTTGCAATCTGCTGCGGATCTGTTATACACTCATCATTAATTTCAAGGTTAATACTTTCTTTATTATTTTTCCGTTTTCCTGTCACGTTATTGAACATGGTCCAGGTACTTTCAACTTTATTCTGCGAGTTATTGATTATGTTGTCATTGTAGTCTATTTTAGCTTTATCAATCGCTTTCTTATATTCTTTTTTTTTCAGCTTTATACTGCATATGCAAACTTTCAAGCTCAGTTTCTTTATACAGTAAGCTCATATCGCGCAGTTTTTGCGACCACTTTCTTATCTCAGGTGTCACCCATTTTTTATAGCTTGGAGGTCTGGGAATAATGGTCGTTGACGGGACGTCCCTGAAACGTCATGAAACTGACGTCTCATTTTACCCATTTAAGTGACGTTCACCCGACGAGATGATGACGAGATTATGACGTGATTATCACGTCATAGAAAGTACGTCATAGTGACGTCATAAATTGGTGTGTGACGTCTCTGACGGAAAATCACCAATCAGGGACGTCACAGTGATGTGATCATTCGTCATCTGGTTGCCTGGGAAGAAATCTCACGTAGGAGGCGAGACTTACATTCTACTTTCACGAATTCGCTCTGTATTTTTCGAAATATGAAACTATACCAATCTGTTATAATCCTGCATTATGATTCATTGACTGATTTCCAAAAATGTTTGGCCAGTAACATATACAATTAATCCTATGCAAAGACCCTCTTCTGTATGGAAAACCTTTCACGGCATTATCGGCTCTTCTCCTCACAAGGAAAGCAAAGGAAATTGGAGCAGCTTAGCGGGAAAGATTAATGGATGGCTATCGTTTCACTTCTGTTCTGTGCCGTGTGCAACTGTTTGTACAGTCAGATGCAAAAGAAATGTCGCACATGGACAGTGATAGCACTTCTAGTCACTTCTGCAATAAGAGCGCGAACATCGCGATATGTTCGTTGTATTTAACTGTACAGTCGTCTCCAGAGATCATGTCGCACATGGACGGTGTCAGCTTCCTTGATCACCGCTGCAATAAGAGCGCTCGTACCGTCCAACCGCGACATGTTCGTTGAAGACGAGTGTACCTTTTTACCATATAGTAACTCTCATCCAATACCGTTTATTTGAAAACTTCCTAATGAGGTGTGGAAATATTGTGGAAATAAGGCAGTAAATAACCAAAAAAACATTGTGATTAACAGATTCCTTTTTTTTTTTCAGGTTTACAAGTTGTGTTGAACTCAATTCTTCGTGCCATGGTGCCTTTATTGCATATAGCTCTTTTAGTATTATTCGTTATTATAATTTACGCCATCATTGGATTGGAGTTGTTCTCAGGAAAATTGCACATGACTTGTTTCGAAAATATATCGTCGGGTAAGTCGGTTTTCTATTCAATACCTACTTAGGGATCGACCGATATTTGGTATCGGTTAATTAAAATGACCGATATACCGATATGATTGATAAGAGCATAACACTTTATTTTTCAAGGGATATGAAAATGTATTTCGACCGATTAACGGTATCGGCCAATTATCTGTATCGGCCGATTATCTGTATCTGCCGAGAAACCCATATCGGTCAATCAGCAGCAGAAATTCAACAGTTTCTGAAAACATAACAGAAGAATAATTCTTGTGATTGTGGAATTTATATCCGCTTAAAATGTTCCAAGATTAATCAAATCGGTTTATCAAATAGGATATTTCTCTCATAGCATCATAATCATTATAAAGATTTCCTGTGAAGTTAATTTTCCTCAATCAAGTCGTATAAAAGTTACCCCGGTTTATATATATATCAAACTTTATTAGCACAGTGCTCTTCGTTACAGTTGAATCTACAATAAAATAAGATGAGTTGATGAATAAAGACATAGAAATATAGAGCTCAGACACAGACACATGAATTACGTCACATATTTTAAGATAAGTGTAATTCACATATTTCTCCTTCCTTAATTGATCACTCAATAATTTTCTTTCACAAATAACACACACGATTCTTCAAAACTATCTATATAGTGACACGCATTTTTTCATTTCACAGGGCAAGTTAATGAACAATACCAGACCTTTTGTATATTAAGTATCACAGACAATATTTCCAGAATTTATATCGAAATCATTTGCTGCTTGTCTTCTGGTATTGCGACAATGAACATCCTGCACATAATTTAGCTCACTTGATAAATACAAAGGCAACATGTTATTTTTCAATTCATAAACATGAAACTATTTGTTTGATATTCATTAATTGCAATGTGTTTAGCATTGTTGTGACTGGTGTGCGTCTTTCACAACCCAAAATCGCTCTCATTGCACGATTTTGGATTTTTTGCAGTGTATCAACCTGTTCGTTACTCAAGAAACTCAGTAGAGTACCACAATAATCAATATGAGGTGTAATTATTGACTTGTAAATTGTTAATTTCGTGAAATGAGATACTTTATCACAAAAACTGTAGATGACACCTATTTTTCGCGCAATTTTCTTTTTAATGTATTCACAATGACTGTTAAGATTCAGTTAGTTATCAATGATCACTCCCAAATACTTGAACATTTTCACTTCCTCAATGATTTCCCATTGATCATTTTTGAATTTGCTCTTGAAGATATAATCATGAACTCCGTCTTTGTAACATTAATTTTGAGTCCATTGTCACAGAACCTGGTGAATATATTCTCAAGATCTCCATTCAAGAATTTTTCCACATCCTCTTTTTCACCAGAGAAGTAAAGTAGGGTATCATCCCCAAATAGTTTCAGCTTAAAATTTTGGACGTGATGTATAATGTCATTCATGAATAAAATAAATAATATTGGTCCCAGTACCGATTCTTGTGGTACTCCATGCATGACCTTTTCTTTATTTGAGTAAGTGTTATTGTATTTAACAAGTTGTTCTCTATTTTGTAGATAGCTCTGGAACCATTTGAAAACCTTTTCGCCGATTTCATATTTGTTCAATTTCTTCAAAAGTAAATCTCTATTTATTGTTTCAAATGCCCTCTGTAAGTCCAAGAAAACCACCCCGATGATTTTCTTATTATGAATATCAACTTTCCATTTGGGTATCAAAAACTGAAGAGCCGTTTCACACGGGTGACAGTTCCTAAAATCTGATTGTTGTTCAATAAGTATTTCATTTGAAATGATGAATTGAAGAAGTTGATCTTTGACGGCAAGATCCAACAATTTTTCAATTATTGATTGGGCGATGTTCAGCTGCAAATTGTGTATTTAGGTATTTTTGGGATCGGAATCACTGTAGATATTTTCCATACATCAGGAAAAACCCCAGTATTCAAAGATGAATTTATTGTATCACGAAATCTATTCCAAATGATGTCAGAAGCTAGTTCGATTATGGAACGATTGATTCCATCTTTGTTACACGAGTACTTTTTCAACGATGAAATAATATTTTTTTCTGCAACCGACACACAAGTCGTCCATTTTGATACCAAAATTTGCTCTTGAATTGATTGATTTCTATTATTGTCACAAAAATAGGTATGTTATTGCTAGGCAAAATATTTAGTTCCTAGGAGCTGAAGTTGAACCGTGTAGTTCTTAGAAAATAAACGTCATCAAGAATAAACAACATTGTTACGGTTGGTTATTTGGGTTGAGACGCATACCTGATTTGTTTCCGATTTCGGCAGATTTGGCATATCATACTCATGCTGGAGATATAAATACACCTTATTATAGATATGTATTGTAATTATAAACATCTCAGTTAAGTATTCTTGTTTTGATCGGGGAAGCCTTCAAGATTCAAATACTTGCTTGATCTGTATTTAATTCGTTCTTCTCGGGATGGATAACTTGTTTTTGAATAATCGCCGCAAGCAATAGTTTTTTCGTCTCAAACAACGATATTATTTACCTCCATTTGATTTTCAAGTCAAACACAGTGTAGTATGGAGAGGATTAAATAATCGCTATGCTATTTTATTATTATTGTTGATATGCTCACTAACCTAACATTTTCCACGTCTTGTTCCTACAGCTGGCACTGGCGCGGTATTTGCCATTAGAGCACTTATGGTCCATACACAAATATGTCACTCTGTATTTGTATTTATATTGAAACTACAATTCGAACATCCTAGAAAATTGAATAAACCTGCCGTTAATGCAGGTAGAATATTCTCACCACACGGATTATTTGTCAATATTTGTTGCATTGCATACATTAGTGGTTACTTCACATATTTATTTGAGTTAATTGTTTCGGGTGCAGAAAAATTAGCATGTTTCATTCGGATCAAAAGTGACACTTTGTTTGACAAGCGGATTTCGCATTTGCGAGGTGGAGCGTTCAGTTAAGCCGAGCGAAAGCAAAATATGAATATTTATATTGGTCAATCCGACCTAATTACTGAGATATAGGGTAATTTTTCATTTTTGGCCAAAATTAATTCACTCTGTATCTTTTCAGTCGTTTGATCTTTCCTCAAATTTCATACACTTAGTCTACTAATCGATGTCAACTTTCTGGAGTACGAAGAGTCGGACTTGGAAAATTTCAATTTGTCGTCTCTTACAAATAGGACACCTTGTACATAGGAATTTTCAATATCTTCTTATTATTGATGAAACTACATGGATTAATGGACAGAATAATGTTGATAACTCGTTTGGCACATTTGAAGTAACTTTAAAATGTGATATTATTCTTCGGGAAACATTCCGTTTATTCAGTCTATTCAATATTTAACCCTGTATCTTTCCAGTCGTTCGATAAATTTTTTACAAATTTCATACACGTACTCTACTAATCAATGTCAACTTTCTGAAATACAATTGACATAATTATCTGATTTTCTATCAGTATATAGGCCATGTTAATATCCCCTCTATTATTTGACAGAGATGGTCCATTGTTTGAGGAATTGTCACAAAGTATCTGTCAATCAGTTTATCTTAGGCCGAATTGCTGTTATATCAATAATACTTGTTTGGTTCAACAAATTAACAAAATGCCACTTTTTACTAATGCTGAATAATATGCAGACATTATTTATGTGTACAGATTTTGCGATGGTAATGGAAGAGCGGCAGCACAAGAGTACGGAAGACGTTCTCCTGGCAGGAGAATCCCAAACCATCAAACATTTTCCTCAACTTATAACATTTTACGAGAAACTGGTAAATTTCATTCGATCGATATTCGTGTTGAGAGAAATGTTCAACATAACGGGCCTCAAGAAGAAAATATTCTTGATATTGTACGTGAAAATGCAAAAACAAGTACAAGGCGAATAAGTGCACAGTTAGTTCTGCCGCAAACTCGTGTATGGCGAGTAGGTACATAATAAGTAAAATTTATACCCTTTTCACATCCAGCAGGTACAGCGGTTGGAAGAAGGTGACCAAATAAGCCAAATACCCAGGATGCATTTTCCCGGTGGATCTCAAGCCACCACAGAAGGACTGTTTCTCGTACATTATTTATTCACAGATGTAGCCCAGTTTACACAAGACACTATTTTTAATTCGAGAAATTCTCATGTGTGGGCAAATGAAAATCCGCACACAGTGAGACAAGCCCATTCCCAACATAAATTGTCAATCAATGTTTGGTGTGGTTTGATAAATGATTCATTGATTGGACCTCATAGATTTCCTGAAAGGTTAACGAGCGTCGTTTATTTGGATTTTCGGCAGAATATTTTGCCAGGTTTGATAGAGAACATTAATTTAAGAGGAATACATTTCCAGCATGATAGCGCTCCGCCTCATTTTGGCGTTGACGTCAGAGAACACCTTGGTTACCGATTTCCAAATCGCTGGATTGGACGAGGAGGGCCACTCCCTTGGCCAGCTAGGTCCCCAGATTTTAACCCTCTGAATTATTTTTTGTGAGGACATTCGAAATGGCTACAGCGATCCTATTGGGAGAGCAGTTATTGAACCGAATTGAAAATTATTGTGAAGAAATCAAACAAAATCCGCAAATGATTCGAAATTCAATCGGAAATTTGTTTACTCGAGCAAAAAAGTGCTGGGATGCTGGTGGAATGCATTTTGATTTAATTCAATTTTCCTAAAAATCTTCAAGAGATAAAATAAATGAATGGAATGTTTCTCGAAAAGCAATATTTTATTCAAAACATATTTCAAATGTGCCAAACGTGTTATCAACATTTTTCTGTTCATTAATCCATGTAGTTTCAGGAATGATAAGCAGATATTGAAAATTCCAATGTACAGGGTTTCCTATTTGTAGGAGACGACATATTAAAATTTTTCGAGTCCGCGTCTGGAATTTGGCTATTTTTTGTATTTTAGAAAGTTGACATTGATTGGTGGACTGCGTGTATGAAATCTGTAAAAAATTGATCGAACAGATCAAAAGATACAGGGTTAAATATTGAATAGAGTAAATAAATGGAATGTTTCTCGAAGAACAATATTTTATTTTAAAGTTACATTGAATGTGCCAAACAAGTTATTAACATTTTTCTGTTCATTAATCCATGTAGTTTCATAAATGATAAGCAGATATTGAAATGTCCAATGTACAGGGTGTCCTATTTGTAAGAGACGACAAATTGAAATTTTCCAAGTCCGGGCCTGGAATTTGGCGACTCTTTGTACTCCAGAAAGTTAACATTGATTAGTAGACTAAGTGTATAGAATTTGAGGAAATTTGATCAAACGATTGAAAAGATACAGAGTGAATCAATTTCGGCCAAAAATGAAAAATCTTAGTAATGACGTCGAATTGACCAATATAAATATTCATTCTTTAATGGCAGCGGTATGTACATCATAAGTATGTACAGTGGCTCGTGAATCACCCTGTAGATATGTTTTTATGGTATCGCTGTTCCAGTGCCGACGATGATGGACAATCCGCATCCCTGCGGCACCGATGTGGGGTTCAACTGCAGCCAATTGGGCGAGGGGATGTACTGCAAAGACGGCTGGGACGGGCCGAACAGCGGCATCACCAACTTCGATAATTTCGGCCTGTCAATGTTGACAGTTTTCCAGTGCATCACGCTGGAAGGATGGACCGACGTACTGTACAATGTGAGTGGTATATTTTCACCCTTAATACCACGAGAACTTCAATTATAATAATATTACCGAACATTGTTTCGAGAACACGAATATTTTCTAAAGGACCCCGCACGAAAACACGGGAAATTGGCTCTCGGTCGAATTGGCTGAAATTATACTATGTTGTTGTGAGATGGCTCATTATAAAAATATATGAGTTTGAAAAGTTTTGTATGTTTAGTTTCTGAGATAATCATAAGCCGACAAAGTTCGTAAAAACGTCGTATCGGGGTAGGATTGACAAAGAAAAAAACTGTTTTTTTAGTATAAATAAGACAAAATAAGCTAGAAAATGTATTGATCGGAACTCAAATACATGTCTAGTTATGATCACATAAATTATAATACGAGGCACAGTCAAAAAATTCATTTTTCGAAAAAAAAAATTCGAGCACTATTCCAAAACTAACAAGTTATATTTAGGTGAGACATTATAGTTCCAGTCTATTGTAGGCTTCGAAAACGTATTTTCATTCTTGATAACTATCTCTGTTCGAAATATGAATTCTTTGAATTTTGTGTTATACCCCTTTTGGAAAACAATGGACAGCTTGCTTTTGATCAAAGAAAAAGGGATCGATTGATACTGTTGATTTATTAAAAGCTGAGTTTACTCACTAGCGAATTCAGTTGTTCAATATTGCTTTCCATTTAGATACAGGGTGTATAAGATTTTGTTGGAGATTATGTAAAATGTTTCAATTGAATATCTCGAAAACAGTTCCGTTAATTTGGATCTCATTCTACTTACACTATTCTGAATATGTTGACTATCATATGCAAAAAGTTTTTCAATTTTTTATGTTTTGTTTCTGGGATATGCATTTTTGAGTTTAAAGTATTACAGGTATTATAGGGTTATTTTACCTCGGATATTACTATCGATTCAACATAACCTTACGGAATCCATACTGTTTTGTTTCATATTGTTTTTCAATGTGGTTAGTGTTGTTTATAGTTACAAATTGTTGATTTCTAATTGTTTCATAATGTAATTGAATGTTCGAAAAATTCCGTAAAGTTCTGTTGAATCGATAGTAATAACCAAGGTAATAACCCTATAATACCTGTAATATAATAAATACTGTAAAGATGATATCTCAGAGACGGAACACAAAAAATTGAAAAAGCTTTTCCCATATGATAGTCGACATATTCAAAATAGTGTCAGTGAAATGAGATCCAAATTAACGGAACTGTTTTCGAGATATTCAATTGAAACATGTTAAATAATCTCCAACAAAATGTAACACACCCTGTATCTAAATGAAAGGCAATATTGAACAACTGAATTCGATAGTGAGTCACATCAGCTTTCATTCAATCAACAGTATCAATCAAAATCCCTTTCTTTGTGATCAAAAACAAGCTGTCAATTGTTTTCAAAAAGGGGAATAACACAAAATTCTAAAAATTCATATCTCGAACTGAGATAGTTATCGAGAATCAAAATACGTTTTCGAAGCCTACAATAGACTAAAACTATGATGTCCCACCAAAATATAACTTATTGGTTTTGGAATAGTGCACGTTTTTTTTTTCCGAAAAATGAATTTTTTGACCGTGCCTCGTATGCACCCTGATTTACTATAATTTATGTGTTCATAACTAGACATGTATTTGAGTTCCGATCAATACATTTTCTAGCTTATTTTGTCTTATTTATACTAAAAAAACAGTTTTTTTCTTTGTCAATCTTACCCCGATACGACGTTTTTACGAACTTTGTCGGCTTATATCTCAGAAACTAAACATACAAAACTTTTTAAACTCACAGATTTTCCTAATGAGCCATCCCACAACAACATAGTAAAATTTCAGCCAATTCGACCGAGAGCCAATTTCCCGTGTTTTCGTGCGGGGTCCTTTGCCTGAGTCGAAGCCTAAGAAGAATAGGCGAGTGGACTATTTTTTTTTTAATTTTAAATCGGATGTACAGGGCTTTCATCCCAAAACTTACCACCCTGCATATCTTCTGATCTGCGAAGATTACAATTTTTGGCAAAAACAGGTCGATTTAGATATCGCGGGGGAAGTGAAATAACAGTAGGGTATCAATTGAATCCTATGTTCATCTCCTTCACCTCCAGACACCCCAACTTTGATATCTCAAATGGCACCCCCTACTTTGAGATACAAAAAATTGAGGGTCTATCAATGATCAAATCAACCAGGTGAAAAAATATTTATTTCGTATACAGGGTGAGTCATGAGGTACTGTACATACTCCTACTACGAACAGAGGCCCCTGAGGGGAATATATCAAATGGCCATCTGGAGTTTTCCTCCTCTTTCACAATTATAAACAGGATGATTGATAGGATTGAACAAAAAACTATTTTTGTCACAACTTTTCAACAGCTTCTCTGATTCATTTCATTTTTTCATGGAACATTAGGCACTCCAACAACAATAGACTAAAGTATACAGAATTGAAAAAAATCCAGGACCATACTTGTGAAATGTTGCCAGCTATCAAAGAGTTCACTCTGTATATGGTTTCAGTGAACAGTGACATCTTTTCTGAAAATCAGAACAAAATAGCTGAGAATGGTATACCCTACTAGTTCCTTTCAAAAACAACTAGAATGATTTATTTTGACGAATCGTCTAAGTAGAAATGCAATTTTTCAGAGTGGTACTCAAAACGATTGCCCAAAATATACTTCATTATTCTCTAGACCATAGTACAGCCTATTTTCGAATTCTTCACGAACTTTTTGAAACGTTTCCTGATTGATTTGTCTGCATTCTGAAATGATGCTTCTTTTGAGTTCGTCTGATACTATTGGCATCAATTGCGGAGTTCCACAAGGATCAATTTTGGCACCAACATTATTCCTGCTTCATATCAATGATCTGTTGGGAGTAACAACTTGCCCCATCCACAGCTTTGCAGATGATAGTACCCTCCATACTGCGTTCTCTTCCAGAATTCCCATTTCTTCCCAGGATACTAAGAACTCACGGCGCAGGCAGGTCAATGCTGTCAATGAAGATCTTGCTGAAATCACAGCCTGGGGAACAAACAACCTAGTTGAATTCAACGCCACCAAAACTCAAGCCTGCTTTTGCTCTAGAAAGGCGGAACTCAGTATGCCCGATATTGTAATGTCTGGCTCCACCATCCTCACCAAGCCCACCATATCTATGCTCGGTATTTCCATCAGCAACACTCTTTCATGGGATAATCATGTCAGATCCATCGCAAAAGCTGCTTCACAAAAACTCGGATTCTTGTTCCGTGCGAAAAGCAACTTTACACCTCAACAGCTTCTCATGATCTACAAAGCGCAGATACGGCCTGTTCTGGAATACTGTTCCCACATATGGGGTTCAGCACCAAAACATACGCTGATGCTCTTAGATTCCATCCAGAGAAGAGCCATTCGCCTGGTGGGTGACGCCACACTCACTCACTCTTTGACATCATTGGAACACCGTAGAAAGGTCGGCGACCTTTCACTTTTCTATCGATACTTCCACGGGAAATGTTCTTCGGAAATCTCTGCTATCATCCCTTCACTAGCAATACCAATCAGACGAACTAGACAAGCCCAGTCAGCACATCCTTTCGTTGTCAACCTCGAAAGATGTCGAACAGCACTTTATCAAGACTCTTTCATCCATAGAACGGCTAGGCTCTGGAATTCATTGCCTGTGGAAGTATTCCCAACAACATATATATAATCTCCAAAAGTTCAAAAACAATTCCAATACCTACCTCCTGTCCCTATCCTCCCCAGGAACGCACGATGTTCTTTGAACATTATAGGGATTCCCTTTCGTGCGCTCCAAGCGATAAAAAAATCTTTTGGTGGAGTCTTATTAACCATTGTTTCCAAGTGACCCCACAGATAATAGTCAAGAGGTGTCAAATCTGGAGATCTTGCTGGCCATTCTATGGCACCTCTTCTGCCAATCCACTGCCTAGAAAATCGTTGCTTCAACCATTCTCTCACCTCTAGAAAAACATGTGGTGGAGCTCCATCTTGCTGACAGAACAGGTTATTTTTGTCCAGCAACATATTTTCATGATCAGCGATTGGCCTCTCTAAAGATTGTGTAATGAGGGGATCAATTATTGTATTTTCCAATAAATCCAGGTACGAATGTCCATTTAAACTGTCTCCAATGAAGAGTGGTCCAATTATCTCATTTCCTAGAATACTAGCCCACACATTGATCTTCTCAGGAAACTGAGTATGGTCCTGTCGAAATATGTGTGGATTTTCATTGTTTCAGAATCTTCAATTATGTTTATTAACAAAGCCGTTCAAATAAAACATTGATTCATCACTGAAACAGATGTGCTTAAGAAAACTGGCATCTTGTTGAATCTTCCCAGACATCATCTCACAAAATTCGATTCTGCGGTCATGATCGTCTATTCTAAGTAAGACACGATTCGTCAAAATAAATCATTCTAGTTGATTTTGAAAGGAACTACTAGGGTATACCATTCTCAGCTGGATGAAGCACCAACACATTTTGTTTTGATTGACAGAAAAGATGTCACTGTTCACTGAAACCATATACAGAGTGAACTCTTTGATTGCTGGCAACATATCACAAGTACGGTCCTGAATTTTTTTCAATTCTGTATCCTCTAGCCAATTGGCGTTGAAGTGCCTAATGTTCCATGAAAAAATGAAATGAATCAAAGAAGCTGTTGGAAAGTTGTGACAAGAATATTTTTTCGCTCAATCCTATAAATCACCCTGTTTATTATTGTAGAAGAGGAGGAAAACTCCAGATGGCCATTTGATATGCTCCTCAGGGGCCTCTGTTCGTAGTAGGAGTATGTACAGGGTGGCTGGAATTCGAGCCTCATCATTGGGATCTCGTGAACCGTGAGAGATACAGGGTCGGTTAAATTATGGCAAAGTTGCGCAATTTGATGCCTAACAAAATGCCGTTCTGAAACTTGTAAAATTCCGAATAATTTCGGAGATATCCGAAAATAATCG